AGAAGATTCTGTTGGAAGAAGTCTTTGAGGAGCTTTCCTTGGTTGAGAATGCAAGAAAACGCGAACTTCTGTCCTAATCGGTGTCGGAGTCGCGCAGGCCCAAGTCCTAAACCCTAAATCCTAAACCCTAGGATTTAGAAGGCCTTGACGCATGACTTGTTCAGGGTCTCGATTGTGGGTTTGGGGCTTTGAGGGAAGAAAAGGGCCGACGCCATTGCCAATCTTAGGGCTTGGTTTAGGGTGGCAAGGGTTTACGGTTTAGGGCCTTTTAGGGTTTATGGTTTAGGGTTCAGGGATCTCTGATGCTGGCTGGATATACTGCGAGAGACCTTGTTGTAGCGGTGGCCTTCTTTCGCGGTTCGGCCGTGACAACTGAGCCCTTAAGAAAACGCTTAAACCTCAAACCCCGAAGCATCACGCTAGATCCCAAATTACTAAAGCCTGAGCCCTAAACCCGTAAACTACTAAACCCTAAACCCTAAACCCTAAACCTCAATCCTGAACTCGCGGGCCCAAACCGGCCGTTTCGGTTGGGTTGCCAGGTCCAAGAGTACCGGAAGAAGGTCTACAAGATCGTGAGTGAGGTGCGGGTTGCGCAGCCCAATGCCCTAAGCAATAAAGGCCCCAAGCCTCAAAAACCCCCAAACCCTAAACCCTAAACCCTAACCCTAAACCCCCAAACCCTAAACCCTAAACCCTAAACCCCAAACCCTAAACCCTAAACCCTAAACCCCAAACTATGAACCCTAAAGGGCTGATGCCCCCAAAAGCCCTGATGCCCCAAAGCCCTGAAGCCTTTTTACACCCCCCCGGGCCCGATATCGAGACTGTTGGGATTCTGCGTAGGAGCCTCCAGGGTTCCGGGTTTCGGATTTCGGGTTTGGGTGTTAGGGGTTACGGTTTTGGGTTCACGGTTTAGGGTTTAGGGTTTCGAGTTTACGGTTTGGGTTTTGGGTTGAATTAGGGTTTACCAGGGTTTAGGGTTTGGGGTTTATTAGCATTTGTTAGGGCTTATTAGGGTTCATTCTTGTTCTTCAGGGTTTGCTGGGGTTTGAGGTTTGCTAGGGTTCATGAGGGTTTATGGGTTTTTTCGGGTTTATTAGGGCTTATTTGGTGTTAAGGTTTATTTGGGCTTATTAGGGTTTAGCGTTCTGGCTTTAGGGTTTCAAGACTAAGTCTCGTGTTCGCTGTTGCCATCCTTTCGCGCTCTGCAAGGCCTTAGCTCGGGTAGGGATCTCGAACCCCCTTGCTGCCCGCGAAACCTAGGCTTAAGGATTTGGGTTTAGGATCAAAAAATGTGGAGTGGGCTTGGGGCTTGGGGTGTCGAGTTAAGGATTGGGGTTGAGGTTTAGGGTTTAGGGTCAAGAATTAGGGTTCAGGGTGTAGGGTCAAGGATGAGGGCTTACCCTGCGATATGGCTAGCGGGCACCCTGATAGTATAGGGGCCTAAATACTTACCTATACTTTTTCGGGGGTTCCTTTTTTTACATATAGTATAACATACCCCAAAACCCTATTCCAATGATTAAGGCCCCTATATTAGTTGAATTCCCTTTTGAGGGTTGGGCAGCCTGCAATTCATGTATCGGGCTGGTGGGACCTCTGCTCTGAGGTTGGGTGGTTTGTTTAGGGTTTAGTAATGGGTTTAGGGTTTAGGGTTTAGGGTTTTAGGGTTTAGGGTTTCGGGTTTAGGGGTTTAGGGTTTAGTTGGGTGGTTCTGCTGTGGATCCCTGATTGATAAATTCCCCTGTCTTGAAGGGCCCCTCACCCTAAACCTCCAACCGTAAACTAGAGATACTGGAATGCAGATTCCTTGTCTTGTGCTTCTTTTCGGGAAGCGTGTTTTTGTTTAGTCAGCGGTCTACGGTACCTTGTGGATTGGCAAGTTTGGGGTTCAGGGTTTGGGTTGAAGCCTAAACCAAAACAAGTCGGCCTAAGCCCTAAGCCCTAAGCCCTCAACCCGAAGGTTTGAGCCTAGATGGTTCTGGATACCCAGTGTGATGAAACGGCCCCAAACCCTAAACCCTAAACCCTAAATCCTAGAACTCCTATTAGCAGCAGTCAGAAAGGCATCCCCCCTCATTTGAGCCCAGGGCCCTGCAGCCGAATGCCTGTTTAGGCTTTAGGGTTTAGGGTTTAGGCCTAGGTTTGGGGTTTAGGGTCCTAAGCACTGAACTTGTTCACTGGAGACTCCGCTAGGAAGCCATCGTCCAAGCCCGAAAGCTCGCAGCGCCTAACATCCACTACCATTCCTTGTTGTTGTTTTCCTTGCTAAGGCTATCCTGCGAACTCGTCTGCTGACGACGACGACTACTATATGATTACGACTACGACTACGACTAACTACGGCGACGACGACGACGACCACCGCCATTGCTACTCTTTTGATTGATTTTGATATGTCTCTTGTTGTGAATCAAATATCATCAGTATCGCAGTAGTCGCCAAAGTCCCCCGAGCCCTCAACCCGTCCACCCTAAGCTTCAGCGCCCCAAAATTCCTAAGCCTAGCGTAGCTTTGCACTTATTTCGGTCATTCCTGCTGTTCTACTACTCCGTCCCCCTGGCAGGTCATTGCGACTCATCCCGATCTCGAGGACAACAACGGCACTACACCCATTAAGATCACCTGGGATCACCCCTTGTGGTCTGATCCTCAAGTTTCAAAGGCGTGGACTTATCAAGGGCTTAGGCTGAGGGCTTGGGGCGTAAAGTTCTGGTGTTTTGATTCAACCAGATCCTAACCCTAAACCCTGATTTCTCAAGTTAGGATGCTTAGAGTTGGTCTTGGTTTCGAGATGCGACTTCAGTTGGAGAAGAAGGCCTTTGGCTTGAGGGTTGAGGGTTTAGGGTTTAGGGTTCAGGGTTTAGGGTTTAGGGGACAAAGATGTACGCACGCTAGTAGCCTCGACTTGCAAGGCTTGCTGCAGTCACTCGAAGCACGGCCGTTTGGTTTGATTCCACCAGCTCTAGCGCGAGATGTTGGCATGGAAGCTGACCCAGGATTAGTTTTTGGGGTCCATTCTGAGTCTTCATCAGTCTTATACTTAAAGGGTCATGGGACTTAGCAACTACGGTTATTATTACGGTATCTATACTTTTTAAGACTTATAACTACTTATAACCCCAATTAAGGCACTTATAACCATACCTTACTAAGTCCCATGATCCTCCAAGTGCCCTGAATCCGAGAGAGTACCTGAGAGTTTAGCCTTCAGGATTTCGGGTTCAGGATCTGGGTGTTCTGGTTTGGGGTTATGGGTTTAGGGTTTAGGGTTTAGGGTTGGTCTGGGATTGTAGGAACCAGGATTGTGGATCAGTTTAGGTGACTGGATCAAGCTTCCATCCCAACCCAAAACTCTAACTCACTAATATCAGGGGTCGAGGTCTTAACAATCACAGTACCACGAGTACGCCGCACATGCCTGATTCTCCGGACCTCTAAAAGGGTAGTTCTCGAAATCAGGGTCCCTTTTTGGGTTCCCAGCATAGTACGGGCATCCGAATAAAAGGGACACCGAAAAGGGACCCTGAACCCTAAACCCCTGAATCCCTAAACCCTAAACTCTAATTACCCTAAACCCTAATTTAGAGAACAACCGATATATCAGAGAACTACCCATACAAGATCCCAGGGACCCGAGCACCAGATGCTCTGTAGCAAAGGAGCCGCAGCATTGAGTGATTTAACTCGTTCTTCATCCGTCCAATAAGGTTTAGGGTTTAGGGTTTGGGGTTTAGGGACCCTAAGCCCGAAAACCCTAAACCCTCGACCTAAAGACCCGACCCTAAGACTCAGGTCCATCTTCATGGGCGTGGAGCACGAAGCCATCCACCTCGAAACCAGCTCTGTCCTCTTCCGGGAGACACCCAGCCACCTGATGCAGGCACGGTTTAGGATTTAGGGTTTCGGCTTCATGGTTTAGGGTTTGGGGTTTAGGATTTAAGGTTTAGGGTTTATGGTTGAGGTATTAGGGTTTTGGTTTCGGTTTCATGGTATAGGTTTAGGTTTTAGGTTTAGGGGCAGGTGGCTCTTCAGCCGATACCAATAGCCCATAGTTTAAAGCCCCAGAGCTCTCGAGCGAAAACCCGAAAGCCTGTAAAAACAACTTGAGCAGTCTCTTCGCCGACACTGTCTTTGGAAACTCAACGGCTTGAATCCCGAGGGTAAGGGTTCAGGGCGTAGGGTCCTTTTGACAGTTTCGAGTTTGGGGCTGTAGTGCTACGGTGGATGATTTAAATCCTGCGTTACCTCATAATAAGGAATATGCCATAATTCCCATAGTTTGGGACCCTAAACCCTAAACCCTAAACCCTAAACCCTAAACCCTATCATCAACGGTAGGGTTCCGGGTTCGGGGTCTGGGCGTTAGAGTGCAGAGTCCCAGGCCCGAGGTCCGAGCCATTGCTGGCTCTATCAAGTTGAGTACCCCTGAATGCTACATCCAGGGTTTAGGGTTTAGGGTTTAGGGTTTAGGGTTTAGGGGTCCGATATGAGCCATGATGAACCCGAAACCCTAAACCCTAAACCCTAAACCCAAAGCCCTAAACCCGTGCGGACTCGCTGGAAAAGGGCTCTGTCCATCTCAGGTGCAGCGAGCTACCTTGGAGGATCAGGATGAATCATTACGGGGGCCTAAAGAATCACCAATACTATTTTCAGACTCCTTATTGTAAGTATACAGGTAGTATGATTTACCGTTATAAACTTAAATAAGTATCAATACCATTTTAGAGGTTCCTTATTTAAGGGCTGCCGCCGCTGCCGCCGACCCCGCAAAGGGGGGCGGCAGCGTCGGCGGGGTGTCGCTCCGGTGCCGACTGTGGTGTCGCAAGCATCGGGCTTAAAGCTTTTTGGTACGTCCGATGCTGGCGTCTGTTGTCAGACGTAGGCCGGATTCCGCAACATGCTGTCACTTACACGGTTGCAGAGGTATCGCTAGCATGCAGCGCAGAAGGGCACATGCTGGCCCAAACTGTATCATACGTGGACTAAGCACCATGTCGCCGAGCTCCAATGCGGCCCGCGCTGCGGTCCGTGCTGCGGCGCGCGCCACGAGAGGTGCTGCTGACCTGGCACGGCTGCGCGCGGCGGTGCGGCAAGGTTTCGGGGAGAGAGACACGGAGAGAGAGACTTTGGGCCGGTGGGGGTGTAAGGCGGGTCTCCGGGCTGCGTCGCAATGTACTCGAAGCTGTATTGATTTCCCGGCACAGGCTGTGTTTCGCGGAAACAGCTGCGACGACAGTTTTCTTGGAGATTCCTGGCAGTTCACGAGGAGGCCTACAGCGCGTGTACGGACACGCTCTAAGATGAAAGCAGGGTTTGTGCTGCAACATAGCAAAAGGACGCGCAAGGCCGCAGCGTAAGGCATCGGCAGTGGCATCTGTAGAGTAACGAGCCACAGCAACCCTGATTAGAATTGGCCGGCAGGTGTGGAAGCGGTCTAGGCGCAGCACGCTCGTTGGCCCGTATGCGACGCTGTTTTTCAAGACCGCAGCGATGCGCCTGCACATGTTGCACTGCAGTTTGGTGTCTCAGCTGCAGCTGGCAATGGTCGCAGTTTGCGCAGCAGCAGCCATGAGAATGTTTGCACATGCCCCCAGCCAGGCTGGCCGGCGGCCGCTCAATGCGGTGCAGTTGGCGAAGCGGTACAGGACGACGCCTATGCTTGCCCAGAGGATGGTGGAGCGGAAGTGCAACAATGTGCCTTGGCCTTTCATTGTGATGATCTCATATGGAGATATGGAATTACTCCGGCCGTCGTTTCATGTAGTTGTTGCGGTCAGGTTTTTCGCATGGCGGACAAGGCGAGTCGCTGCTTATGGCGGGTGCGAGCGTCGCATTGGAGCGTGCAAGTGTGCACGAGCGTGTGCTTGCGCCTCTTTGGGCTGCCTGAGGCGTGGTCCGTTGTGATTTTTGCCAAGCAAGTGCAGCCCATAGCATTTATACGTATGATGTCGTCGAGTAGTTTGATGACTGATGATCATCTTCTCATTTGACAGGGTGGGTTCGCCGAGTTGCTTGGCAGCGTGGGGCGGCGTCCTGCGTCATTTGTGACGCCTACCCACGTGCATAGTCAAACCTTCGAGCGCGCAGTGGCGCTGCGCGTTCGGTCGTGGGGCCGTGTGCCGTACCAGATCTTCGGCAAACTTGCATGTGGACTGTATGAATGTAGTGGCCGTAGTTGGGAGTTGGCGGTGAAGAGGGCCTTGCCAGCTGAGGCCGTTCGGCCGCTTCCAGGCACCGAGGACACGCATGCGGCACGCGCGCGGTGTCCTGGGCGCGCTACGGCAGGCAGACCATTGCATGCGGAGCAGGTAGTGTAAAGCGTAGAAGGCAGCACAGAAACTGCAGAAGATTTCCAAAGATTAAAAGTACAGGCAAAGTTCACGATGTGAGATGTCCATATCATCATTTCGGCAGGTGCTCATCGCAAATTCGGTGGAGGCTGTGCGTGGAATCTTGGGTCTTTCTCGATAGAAATTCGCCAGTTATCAGGCCAGGGTTCTTTTGGGCATTTTGATGAGGAATCCTTCTCCAAACAAGGGAGGCGGTCATCCCGGCCGCTTGTAGGAAGAAGCAAGTCTTGCAGGTATGGCAGGACTTGTGCTTCTTCGGCTTGGTGGATCTCAATGACGTTCCGCTGCATGTGGGCCGTGGCACGGCATTAACGTCGGGTTCTTTCCTGAGGCCGGTGTGATCCAAGGGTGCAGGCTTGCTCGGGCCGGTGTGTACCGCGTCGAGGAAATGCACGTCCTGGCAGGAGCGTGCACGCTCAAGCTGGGCGGCATCGTCAATTCTGTCGAGAGATGTCGTTGTTGTCGCTGCCGCTCACAACGTTCACAGTGCATGATTGTGAGTTTTGGGCGTGCGAGTTGGCGAAACTTCGTTTCCGCCGCAGCGTGGCTATTGAGTACTGGTGATTAGCACGGCAGGTGCGAATGGTCTCGCAGTTGCCGAGTGTCCCGAGGCATGCCTTTTCGTCGGGCGTCGAGGCTTCTACGACGCGACAAGCAGGTCGTGCGCGGCATCCTGAGGCGTCGCGTCAGGAGGCAGGATGCAGTCTCGGCCCGGCGCCGACATACGTCGCGCAGGCGTTTGGCACGGCCTGCGCCGCGTTTCAGTTGCAGGAAGAGGTCGGCGCTCCGTGCGGCAACTTTGCAGTTCTGTTGCGTCAGCGGCGTGGTCTGTCCAGGCATGTTTCCCGGGGGTGATGGTGCGGGCGTCCCAGACGCCGCTCGGTGATTTTGTCAAGGGGGCTTCAGGGCATATGGCTGAAGGTTTACGCGTACAAGTGTAGGGCTTAGCGCTTTAGGGCCTCGGGTCTTAGGGCTTTGATAGGTGTCCCGAGTGGGTTTTTTCGATCTTGAATCTTTGGGAGTTTGAACGTATTATACATGTTGGACGAGATCCGAGAGTTTGACAACTAAGTTTGGAGAAATGAAGATTTGAGAGTTTGAAGCTTGAAGGCGGTCACGCTCAGGTCGTAGGGTGCTTTGCTGTTGCTACAATCGTCTTCAGGACTATTCATTAATTGAGTTAGTTTGCTCAGACTGTTCTTCTGCAACTTGTCTTACACTTCAGTTCGCCCCTGTGCTCGCCAGCTCCGGCCTGTTATTACGCAACGTAGACCTTCAACAATACAGAGATCTTTAACATAGGGGTTTTGGCAGCCCCCGAACCCTTATAACAGTCGTTTTATCCCCAAGCTTAAACGCCTTACGCCCTGCACGTCTCTGCAAAACTACACCCTAAGCTTCAGGTCAGTCTGCTCAGTGGCGGTCCTCTGCTGCTACTGCACGCGGCTTCGTCCACGGCCGTGCTCGGTTGGCTTCTTTGTGCAGCTTTGTCCCACCACAGTACCCTTTTGCTCTTTTCTTGTGGCTTCTTTACTCGCAGGGAGAACGCGCACAAAAATGGGAGAAACCGTAAACTTATCATACCAGGGGAAACCCCAGGTGCCCATCCTGTCGATCTTGCTTGTGGTTCTTCTTGGCTTTTTGAGAGTCGCGGTGAAGGCTCCACGGTTGCCGTTGAATCGCTGCCCAAGTTTCACAAACTCAATCCGGAAGGTATAAATGTCTGGGCGGGTTCACGCTTGGGGGGCAGTGGGGTAGTAGTGTTTCGGTTTAGGGTTGACCGTGTTGTTTAAGTCTCCTAAGGGGTTATCCTACTAATAACCTATTTATATCCTTACTAAAGCCCATGAGCCTTTCAGTGAGGTCACCACAAGGCAGATGGTGGGAGCTTGAGCCGCTAGATGAAGCTGGTGATTCTGCAACTGATTCGCCCGGGTGGCCTCACTTTGCAGTCGTTCCCCTTTGTGTATCTGAGGTTTAGGGGACGTGGTTTGGGTTTTAGGGTTTAGGGTTTGGGATTGAAGGTTCCCCGGTTTAAAGCTGATGAATGGGACAACTTTATCCTTGTTGTGACGGCGCTGCTGTATGGCCTAGGTGTGCTTGGATAGCGACCAGCTTCAGAACCTCGACTTGTTGTACGTGGTCGTGGTGCTCACCGGACAGCTGCTGTCTAGAAGTTGCTGGGCCGTTTGATCTTCGAGTCTAGTATAGTCTTTCCTTAAGAACAGTTCAAAAAGGAACAAAAAGCGCGGAATTAGCCTTAAGCACAGGTTGGTGTGCGGCTGAGAGCGTAACCGCCCGGAAGAATGACATTCACACGGTGCCATTGCTCTGCGAAGGTTTCGAAAGGCTGTCTGACGAGGCATACGGGTACCTTAAACCCTCAGCCCATAGTCTGGGTTCAAATTTTAAGTTGAGTTGTGTGATCGGATTATGGAAGGGTTTCATAAGGATCGTCAGAGACCACGATTTCTGCCTCCTTTGCCGTGGGCTAAACCCTAACCCCGAATCCTAACCTAGGCCCAAAACCCGTACCTAGATTTGAAATCATTAACCTAAACCCCAGACCCGCAGATAGCCCACAAGAAAGCAATGCACCGTAAGTGACAAAGGGCTGGTGTGGTTAGAGGTTTCGGGTTATACGTAAACGCTCGTCCTTGGTGAAGCGGTTGTGGAGTCTGTCGTAACCCTGGCTTAGACTGAGGGCCCTCAAACCGAAACTTTCAACCCAAAACGTTTGCAACAAAGAAACCTAAACCCTATGACTGCCAACAGGCTGCCGACTCCAACTTCGAAGTTCCAAACTTCGACGCGAGGTGGCATACTGGGATTTCATGGTTTGGGGTTTCAGGTCGAAGGTGGTCTTGCTTTTAGGCGGCTCATGCAATCCTGGCAGATTTGAATTCACGTATGGTCACATCCTGAAGGCGGTGTAACGTTTGACAAACCCTATCGCATTGCAACCCTTCTAAAACCGTAGCAGCCGCTCAAAAAAAAATTCACGTATCAAGGTGTAACATCCTATAAGACCCAAAACCCTCAACGGAGGATAGTATGAAGAAGAAGTTCGGCTGCCGTGCTCCTCCTGGTGGGCCAGCACGCCAAGATCAGGGTTCTCCATACACCATCTTTTCTGAGCTACACCCAAAGCCTGTGAGTGCTAGCCACTGAGCCCGAAGCCTTCGTGGCCTGCCCGGTTCGGGAACAGTTGAGGATGGGTTTCCACGAGTAAAGCCATGATTTTGCCCCGGTATAGTAGCGAGCTCAAAGCAGATAAAGTTCATATAGCGGCCTTCATAATTGGAATAGGGTTTTAGGATATATTATACCACCATATATCATACTATATTATACTTCGCGGTGATGCCGGGTCCGGAGGCTGCGGGTGGAGATCTACTTAGAGCATCATGGGACTGACTCAAGTAGCGTTCAAAGTACTTTAGTTCAGGTTATTGGTCGATAGAACGTATAGTAACCGTTCTTAACTCTGCTTACCAAGTTTCCTGATCCTCCAGGTACCAGTAGCTTCTAACGTCGAAGCGGCTGCATCGTGGCAGGTGGCGGACGACGCTTGGTCGAGTCCGTGCGTGTTTCACAGGCGTCGCCCAGAGCCCGGGCGAAACCGGTAAGGAGAGCGGGTGTCGCGTAGTTTAGGGTCTTCTGGATGCATCGCGGTCACCGCAAAGAAAGATTGCTGTCAGTGTTTGCACGCTGTTGCATTGGACAGTTCCCATCTAGTTGTTTGGTCGAAGTGCGCTTTTTCGTGCAGCATGCTGCTGCAGTGTTGTGGCTCCGTTTTGGGACACCCAGTGCCTGTTTTGTGTCGTGTGCGTCCGTGGGACGATGGCCCTTTCTCTTTTCAAGCAGAAGCAGACGCTGGTGGCCAAGATCGTGGCGGCTCGCGATGAGGACTCGTGGAGCAGCCCAACCTGGTGTGGACGGCTTCTGCTTCAGGGGGGCGCCCAGGCAGAGATGCATGCTACCGGCGAGTGTCGGGATCAGTTCAAGAGCCTGGAAGGGTCTGCTTCAGCTTCGACGTGACTCGCCACTGCGTCAAACCCTACGCGCAGGCATCCAAGTCTGGCATACAAAACAAGCATTGCCTGCGGATGGCATTTCGAGCTGGAAATTTGTCCAGGACGGTATCGGGCTTCTCCAGCGAGGTCGTGGCAGATCGCGAGTTTTTGGAGCTGGAACATTTGGATCAGCTTGCAGAGGCCTGTTGTTGCGTTACTTGTTGTGATGCCACGACCTCGCCCTTTCTGTTGTGTAAGTGTGTGCAGGATGCCGTGTTCAACCTGAGCGGCGAAGTGCACAGCATTGGTCCCGCTCCATCTGCGTCTGCCTCGCTCAAAAGACGGCAGCTGTCCATCCGCTGCGGGGATTACGTTGCAGAAGTCAATCTTCTCGGCCAGCAGACTTCGCTGGCTTTCGGCGTGGGCGATCGCGTCGCCATGTTTGGGATGCGCAAGAGCGTGTACGCGGGCGTTGCATCCATCGAGTCAACCCGGCTCGCGTGGACTTTGGTCAATCCCAGCTGGTTGACTGTGAAGGCCGCAGAAGGACCCGAGCGCAAGGCATTGCGGCTGTCTGTGCTCGATCCGGTGTCCGTTTCTGTTCTTCGTGCTTCCAATGGGCAGCAAGCGATGGCCGTCGAAAAGCCACCATGAACGCGTTGGACAATGCCCTCTTCGAAGAACCCATTTGGGTTTCGGACAGCAAGCTTCGCATTGGCGTGTCGCTACGTGACGACACAGGCACCGTATGGGCTTCACTATGGGGCGAGCAGTTGTGGCCGCCTCAGATCTGATGTTGGCGCCGTCCGGGCCACCGAATACAATCAATTGCAGTTCATTTGCGATTTCCCTGAGGTGTCCACTCATCGGCAAGAACCTCGACGAGCTCGCGCTGATGTGGACTGGTTGCGAGGATTCGGAGGAGCACAGAGCCGCTTTCCTGGGCGTCTTGAACGTTCTGACGGCATCGCCGAAGATCTACACACTTCGTCCGCGCACATGGCAGGAGAGCATTCAGTGGAACATCGTGGCTGTGGCGGAGCGCAGCGTCGTGGCAGCTTGAAACGTTATCCGCCAGCGGCATGAAATGCCAATGCATCGATCATTAGCTCCATGCCGTGTATAGTTGATTGTTTGCCGAAGAATGGACGGTGTCACTGGCACTGCTTCCAGCTTTGTTTTCTCCTGAGCGTCGACGTCTGTGCCAGACAGCGCACAGCGTCGGCTTTGTTTTGGCTTTGGCATTTTAACGCAGATCGACCGTCCGATCAGCCGGTGGACCTGATGATGCAGTAGGTTGCATGCCGACATAGGGCCTTGACAGCACGCCAGCGCAGGCAGTTAGGGAACCCACGTTTCCGGTGCAGCTGCCCGAAGTGCTCGATTGACGCCGTGCCACTGTCTTTTGCTGTGTTTCGTCGGCCATGCTTCGTGTCCAGCTTATGTCGAGCAAGGACGAGGTGTTGTCCGCTGCAGCCGCGTCCTGTGATCTCGGTTCCGTCAAGACGGCATTGGCCAAGGCCAGGCGTGAGCTTTGTTCAAGTACGTGTGTGTGTGTGTGTGTTTTTCTTGTCGGTGTGCTGTCACGTCGGTGCAGATTTTGGGGCGGGACGTTCACCTGGACATGGAGGACGACAAGAAGGTTTATCTCAAGGTTGAAGAAGACGAGCTCGAGCCGTTGCGGCAGATCTGTGTGGTGGGGGCTCCAGTTGCGTGCCCCGAAAAACCGCCGCCGGCAGCAGCAGCGGCTTCATTTGCGTGCCCCGAAAAACCGCCGCCGGCGGCAGCAGCGACGGGTTCGGAGCGGGAAACAGCGGAACGCCTGTTTTCTTATTCGGCACAGCGCATGTCGTCACGGAACGACGTGCGA